CGGCATGAGTGCTAAGCCACCCGGTCCAGGACGTGAACCGCGGTTGACTACGTGGGAGTCCAGCGACATAGCCATTACGCTAACTGCTGGTTCCCCCATGCTGCCTGTTTAGTAACACCACAATTCAGTCTTTTCTGGGGTCTGATAGACATACTGCATCAGGCTAAACTACATCTGTGCTGGATAGAATGTTCTCAAAAATTACCTGTTGACAAAGATGTGTATGGTGGTCTCAGCTGGGCTGGACTGAGGTGTATATCATGCTGGGTAAAGTCTCTTCACAATCTAAGTGATGTACAGTGATTTAATGTATGAATAATAATATAAAAAATGTTAAAAATACATCTATAGATATATATATATATATATCTATAGATGTATTTTTTTTTTTTGGATTTTCGCTATAGGGAGCGTGCGCTTGCCAGACAGACAGAGACAGACATAGAGACAGAAAGCGAGAAATCACCCCCCAGGGGGGACGGTCACGCCACAATCCCTTCTCCTCCATTCTCCTCTCGGGATCTTGGGCACACACGCACACGTGACCGGCATGAGTTTTAAGCCACCGGGTCTGGAACGCGAACCGCGGTTGACTACGTAGGAGTCCAGCGACATAGCCATTACGCTAACTGCTGGTTCCCTAAGTCAATATATTTTTAAAAAGTGACTGAGCCTTGCAAATCTCTTCCCACTCTTACCTTGACCATAAAATTGGGGGTGGAGACCTTTCCGAGTTGAGAAAAAGCTGCTTTGATGAGAACTTGGTAAAAGGTAGTTTAACTGTGATGGTTTCTGATGTTCTTAAATACTTTTCTCCACCCGAGCCTGGGGATTTCCCTTCTGCCTCCTGTAAGCCCCACCCTAACAGCAGACAACTACATATAAATGATATACAAGCCAACAGAAAGTGAGAAAGGGTTTTCAAAACTTCTCTCCAGGAAACTGAAACCACAAAGCAAATTCAGTAACTGGATTGTTATAAATGGAACTTGCTGAGTGTTTGGATAATGCTTCTGTAATGTGGGACTCCGGCAAGAATTTACTTGGCACTTTTTAATGTAGAACCCAGAAGGAGTTCACATTTGTAATAACAGCTTCTTTCGACTTTCTGATATTTCTGTAACCTCCTGGTTTTCAGCAGCATGACTTCTTCATCTTGTCTTCCAGTGCTTGTCTCAATGCCAGTATCATACAAGAAAGTCAGCGTTCAGGGATTTCTCTCTGGACACACAGTAAGGAACTTAAAACAGTCCAAGAATATCTAGCATGGACCTCTGTTGCCTTCCCTGGAAATCCCCTTTCAGAAGTTTTTTGATATGCTTGTTTATGATGGACTTAGTCATCCACTGAAACAATTTATTTCCCAGATCAAAGCACACCATCTCAAACTCTGTGCCTTTCCAAAGGAAAAGGCCGATCTGGGACTGAAGCTCATTATTTTCCTGTGGCATTTGGCTGGTTTCCGGGGCTGGCTGAGATTCCACCGAGCCATGGCCTGATCCTTGCAGCATGACTTTTGTAGCCTGAAGAACATACATATCCCCTCAGCTGTTACATGGTAATTTAATCTGAGACAGAGCTGGACATGGCACCCTCTGCAAGCCCCAATCCGAGATGGAAGTTATCTAAAAAACACAAATGAGTATTGGATTTTTTTTTTTTTTTGGAGAGATTTTCACTGTAGGGCGCGTGCGCTCGCCAGACAGACAGAGAGAGACATAGAGACAGAAAGCGAGAAATCACCCCCCAGGGGGGATGGTCACGCCGCAATCCCTTCTCCTCCATTCTCCTCTCGGGATCTTGGGCACGCACGCACACGTGCCCGGTGTGAGTTTTAAGCCACCGGGTCCAGGACACGAACCGCGGTCGACTACGTGGGAGTCCAGCGACATAGCCATTACGCTAACTGCTGGTTCCCAGTATTGGATTTTTTACAGAAGAGGTGGCATAGGAAGCTACAAGCCCTGACTCCACTGAAAATTACCTGCTTCCCACTTCCCTTGAGTCACTGTCCCCCCTTCCTTATATTATCTCCTTTCTTTTACCTACTACCTTATTTTTAGGAATAAATAAAATTTCTCTAACAAAGTAATTTAGAATAAATGTTCATAGCTTAGGTTTCTCCTGGTACTTATTACTACATGTGTGTATTCTCCCCTCTGCTCCAACAGCCATGTCATAAGTTTTCCCAAACATCAGCATGTCCCTCTCAATCAAGAATTTTGGGGTCCTGGGACCAGCAGGTGGCATGGTAGTCAAGGCGCTGGACTCCCACATGGCCAACCACAGTTTGAGTCCCAGACCTGGTGACTTGAAAACCCCATTGGGCATGGATGTGTGTGTACCCGAAACACCAGGAGGAGAATGGAGGAGAAGGATTGGGGTGTGGCCAGTCCCCCTCTGTGGGTGTTTTCTCACTTTTCCTCTCTCTGTCTTTCTGATAAGCACACTCTCTCAATGGCAAAAAAACTAAAAAAAATAATAATAATAATTTTGGTAACTAGTGTAAAATAGCACACCTCTTTTGCCTTTTTATAGTGTGTTCTCACAGTAGCTATTCTGCTGCAGGACAGGAGGAGATTATATGTTAAGACAATGAGAGTTCCAAATTGTTGACAGACACCTTTGCTTTGGGAACTCTGTGGCAACGTGTGCTACCAGAAGATAAATCAGGATAGACATTCTGAGGGTCCTGGGGCTTTCACGAAGTTCCTATCCAAGCACAGCTACACACTTTGTGAATTCTTCTGTCCCATGAAACAAAAATGGGCCTGGTAGAAAAATGTGGTATTTAAAGAAGCACCCTAGGGACAGTGGCTTAGTTATCTTTGAACACATTGCATGAAGTTTGCTAAAAGTTTAAATGTAAAAGAAACAGCACTTCCCTTGATTCCTTAGAACAGAAAAGCAACTGATTTCCTAGAACTGAGCCTATTTATGTAAGTAACTCTTTGTTACTTTCGGTTTTGTTCTTGTTTTCCAGGAAATGCCACTGCAACAAGCCTTGAATTGGCCCAAGAGATTGTTTTCCTGCTGGAAAACCACTGTAATGTCATTTTAGAACATCATGTCTGAAAATCCATATGGTTTGGGAGAAGAAAGGGAAAAACTTTATTATTTTAGACTTCTAGCCCTTCTCTTTATGCTGTTTTTCAAAAGCGAGAGTATGACAGTTATTCATAGCTTTTTAAAATCCTTTCATAAACAGGTTGTTAATGTATGAAGCTACAGACAGACCTTTAGGCCAGTACTAATGTCATAACTTACAATCATCATTTTTGGATGTCTTCAATTCATTCTCCATACAGTAGACAGAGTGATTTAAACACACTCATATCCAGACACTTTTTTGCACAAAAGTCTTACAAGCTCCTATTGCATTCAGGGCAAAACCCAGTCTTCATAGCACAGCCCGTGAGAGCTTGTACAACCTGGCTTCTGCCTGCCCCTGTCTAAACCAAGTCTCTGTCTGCTTCAGCACATGGACCTTCACTCCGAACTAAACGCCCCAAGCTTTTCCTCATTCACGAATTTTGTACAAATTCCTTCTGTCTCGAACTCATTTTCCTCATTCCTTTCTGACTAAATTGGATTCATTAAAAATTCTTCTTCACTCTATTTTCCAGAGAGGTGTTTCTGACCAACTAATCTAAATAGATTCTCCTTTCTACAGTTACTCGTGACCCCGGTACTATTCTTTTGCATGCTTATCAGAAATCAAAATGCGGCATTCGTTAATATGATGATTTATACTACGGCTGTTCTGCTAATCACTGTATCTTTGGTGTCTTCTCCAGTGCCCGGCACACAGTCAGTGGCAAACGCATACTTATTGAATGACTAAATGCAATCGTGTTTGAAAATGCTTGTTTTGTTGTTAGTCAGCACATTTAAGTTTGGTTCTTGGCAATCTTGGCTTTTTGAACTTGTAGACAAATTGTAGAAATTCCATCCCACAATGCTTGAAACATGGCTTGGCAAATGTGAGCTCCTGTTATTCTGTATTTGCACTGTCACTGTGGCATCATCATTATCATCATCATCATCCTATCACATTAGGTTTGGCTTTCTATAACCCAAAAGAAATGCCTTCTGTATAAACATGTTGTACAAACAGGCAGTGAACTTTGGAGTTTTACTTAGGCTTGTTTCATGATTTTAGTGATGGTCTGGATTTCATTCTAATATCAATTATTTACCTAATATTGTTCTGAATGGAAAATAAATAATATTCTAAGACTTCTGATTCTGAAAACATGTTGAACTAGATAACATGAAAATTCTCATCATAAAATATTTTTTAAAGTTAACAAAATAGGGCAAACAGCCATACCCACTGGATCTGACTGCTGGGGTGCCATGCAAAGTCCCACATCCCTCTCTCTGGCCACCCCCCTGAGTTCATGTGCTTCTCACATGCAAAATACTCTCAGCCCATTCCAGCACTGCCGAAGTATTAACCCCTCCTAAATCCAAAATCCTAACTAAATCAGGAATGGTTAGGATTCCAGGCAGGATTCATCCTTGGGAAAAATTCCTATCTACGGATCTGTGAAACCAGTTCTAAAATGCAATGGTGGGATCAGCATGGGATAGACGTTCTCATTCTAAAATGGAGAAATCAGAAGGAATCATGGCATGGCCTGATTCCATTAGATTCCAAGGTATAGGCCAGCTAGTGGTAAGGTGGTTGGGGGGTATTGGATCCCAGGTGTCTGACCTTGCCTTTGGAGTCTCATACCCAGCAGCTTGAACGATATGCCAGCCACGTGTGCATGTGTGCATGTGTGCTCAAGACTCCTGAAGTGGAGGCATGGAGAGAGAACTACTGCTTGACCATTTCCCATGTGTGTGCAAATGTGTGTGTGTTGGGGGGGGTGCTTTCTCTCTTTTCCTGCCTCTCTCTGGTAAACACGCATGCCCTTTGGCAAAACTTTTTTTAAAAATTGGAAACCAGCAGTTAGCGTAATGGCAATGTTGCTGGACTCCCATGTAGTTGACCGCAGTTCGCGTCCCGGACCTGGTGGCTTAAAACTCATGCCAGGCGCGTGTGCATGCGTGCCCAAGATCCCGAGAGGAGAATGGAGGAGAAGGGATTGCGGCGTGGCCATCCCCCCTAGGGGGTGATTTCTCGTTTTCTGTCTCTATGTCTGTCTCTGTCTGTCTGGCGAGTGCACGCGCCCTATAGTGAAAATCTCTCTCAAAAAAAAAAAAAAAACTTTAAAAAAAAATAGATTTTAAGACTTGAGAATAATCTTCTTGGCTTCATACTACGTCCTCTGGGCCCAGTGGGGTATGGATCTACCCTTTGGGCCTACCCAGGAAGCAGCCTCACCCCATCATCATCCCTGCATGGCAGTTCCACTCTCTAGAACCAAGGAGCAGGTGACCTCACCTCTGGGCCTATGTCAGCAGCCCCACTGGCCTCGGCCTCAGTCATTCTTTTCCCATTTCATGCTGACTCGGCATCTTTCAGTCCAGACTGGTAGTGTTTCTACTAAGGTAAAATTCTCGAACAATCTTGTTATCCTCCAGTACAATGAATTCACAGAGAAGACCTTCCACAAATCTTTCCTATTTCTCTATTTTTGACTTTTCAGAGTCTGTTAATTGGATTCATGAATCTCTTACTTAATATCTTGAGCAAATGGCTGTCCAGACCCATGCTTTACACTATTTTCACAGCACTCTACACACACAGACTAAGAATCTTTCAAACCATCAAGTACTACTTTCATTTTACTTTGCTGTTCCTTCTTCAGTTTGCCTGTCTCCTTTCATTTTACTACAAGAAGCAATGCCTTCTGGTGCCTCTCAATGAGAATGGAGGAAAGGGCATC